ACTTATTTTTGACGATCAAAAAAATATTTTTAATTCATAATAAGTTGCGACCAGATATTTTGAGCTTGTATAAAAAGTTTCATAATTTTTAAACACGTAAAAGTATTTATTTTGTATTTTTGAAGTAATTGGATTCGTACTATTCACTAGTCCGATTTTTAATTATTTGAAATTGCAAAATTAATATTTTAAATTCTGGAAAAATCATCTTCTGGTTCTGGAACTTATTTTTGACTTGAAAAATAAATTTTGTTAATTTTGGAATTTCGAAATATATTTTCACAATATCATTTCGGTTTTCTAGCTATGAAAATGGTTTTCAAAATTTAAATTTTATTTATTCTGGAATTTTAGGATTTCCAGATTAATAAAGTTTACTGGGAGTCTCCAATAATTATTTGCTAATTTAGAAAACATATATGTATTTAATTCGAAATAAAATCCCTTTTTCGAATTTAAATATATATCTACGGTAAATATAAAATATTTTATTTTCTGGAATTTAGGAAATCAAATTTCTAACATTCTGGAAATTTAAAGTATTTTATGATTTAAAGTTAATTAAATTACTTGCTAACATACTGGAAATTTAAAGTATTTTCTGGAATTTAGGAAATCAAATTTCTAACATTCTGGAATTTAGGAAATCAAATATTGCATTTCACACATCATAAAAATGTTTTTCAAACATGTGTAAATCATTAAAAACACTTGGTGTTCGCCCAATTCAAAAACCAAGCCATCCGGCGTTCGGGTTTCAGAAACCGGCGTTCGGCATTCGGTTTTCGGCGTTGGTTTTTGGCATCCGAACTAACCAAGTGGTTTTCAACTTTTTATGATTGGTTTTTACTTCTGGGCACATTTAAATAGTTTTCCATCAAAAACACTTTAAAAACCACCTTTCGTTTTTCGTCGTTTGATAAAAACCATGCGAAACGGCATAAACTTGGCTAGCCGCGGTTTTTACTTAAATGAAGTGGTTTTCGAGTCTTTTTGTGTTGGATTTGTTTTTGAATGCATTTAAATGGTTCTACAATCAAAACATCATGAAAACCACCTTTCGGTTTTGTCTTTTGGTGAAAACCACCCGTGTACGGTGTTGACTTGGTCAACCGTGGTTTTTACCTTAACGACGTGGTTTTTAACTTACAAAGCTTGTTTTGACATCAAAATACATTAAATAAGTGTTTTATATACTTAGTTTTTACTTTGGAGAACTTTGCATTTTTCGGTCGGGTTTCAGCGCTGGTGAGCTAGGCCATGGTTCTGGGCTAACCATCTACCCAGCGATGGTAGATTTCACCCATGCATGGGTAAGTGATCCCGGGATTCCAGAATCATGTCACCCAGCAATGGGAAGATCTTCCCATCGATGGGTAAGCAGTCCCTTAGCCAAACCAATTTCCAGAACCATGCCAAACAGCGATGGGAAGCTTTAACCATCGATGGGAACCCAGCGATGGGAAGGCTTAACCATCGATGGGAAGGCATGACCGTTGGGAGTCATTTAAGGCTGATTCTTTCCTTATTTGAAAGTCAACCTCCCACCCA